TCGATACTTAGATTATTTATGGCTTCAAGACATTCCACAACTGTATCGTGAAGCTGTTTAATCTTGAATGATGATTCGTGATTAATTACTGGAAGATCCAAGATCCTATCTAGTAGTTTGGAGACTATAAGTCTGCTGTTGCTGTATCTGTCTTTGAGAATATTCCAAGCAGGGCCATAGTTAGTTTCTGCTATAGACAGGTGCTGGATCAGTCTTCCAGCTTCCCCTCTCACACGCGTTTTAAGATACTGCATTTTCTCTATTGTCGTAATTATTGTTGGATTTTCATGAACCACTTTGATAAAATGTCTCGAAATGTGACCCACTCTTCATATCGGCCTTCAAAAATCGGTAGTTTGATTTGAGGTAATGTTATGTTGCATTGTTTCACAACTTGTTCTACTCCTTGAATCTTGTCCTGGAGACTTTGTACTGTTTTTGTACCGTTTTTCAAGGTCTTGAATGGGATTTTTGATAGTACTGTGAATTCCCTGAACCTGAAGCTCGATGTATATTTCAAAGATAACGTCCCATTGCTTGGATAGCATCTCTAATAGAAACTGGTAACGGTTGCGAGACTGCTCACTGATTAGGTCGTTTGAGATGTCCCTTAAGGTTTGACTTATTTGGTTCATTCGGACCTCTCCTTCTTTCAAACGATTTTTCGGTGCCTGATACTATGGTTTAGATCGTAATATGAGGCTCCTTGTTGTGCGAGTGGTTTGGTTGCCTGACGAAGCTTTGGTTTGGAATCGGTAATGTGTTTTGTGATTTCTTGGAATAATTCCTGTAGTTGACGAAAATAATCGTCTGTAAAATACGGATGCGTCGGAATGTCAAACTCTATAAGTTGTTTATGGTTTTCTTCAATGTTTTCCCAAATGGACTCAACTTCGGCAGTTTTTCTGAGAAAATGGGGGTCCTTTTTGTAATTGGAAAATAGAGTTTTCAACTTTTTGCCCAAGGTTTCTTGTGCTTTAGCGATTTCTTTGGCTTCTTCCATCTTGGATTTTGCCTACTGCTATTGGTTATCTGCTCTTTTTTCTCTTCTTTGTGTAGGTATGTTCCGGCTTCTTATTACTTTAACTTCAGGACCTGGTGGTTTTTTTCTTTTTTTTGCTGCTATCTGCTGATATCTGAACTGATTTCTTTGTTCTGTTCTATTGAGGATGGGATACTGCAACCAGACAAGGCACTTGCTACAGCGGGAAGGAATGTATGTGTAGGTGCTGTAGACCGGTGTCTAAACGTAAACCCCGAAGGGCGCGAGTGTATGTGTATAGGTTAAAGGATAGGAATGAAGGGAGAACAGTTGCGGAGGGCTGGTTTTCAACCTTTATCTTCTTTTTGCTCGAAGGACCAATGTAAATTCCTGTCTTGGAATTTAGGCGGATGCTCGGAACACTTAGTAGTTTGTTGATTGTAGCTTGTAGGTTGGGTTAGTACACCCGGGAAGTTTGGTAACTGGGGAGTAAAACCACTGTTGGATTAATACTGATTTTTATTAAACAATTAACAACTATTTATATACAAAAAATGCAACTTTGACAAACGTCATGAACAATGATAATTAATTAAAATAATAAATGAATAAATTGCTGACAAAATTCTATTGTGTGCTCCACATCGAAGAATTTGGTAATTAGACTTTTGATGACGCTGAGTCTGCTTTAGTCAGTGTTGATGACCTAGAGGCTAATAATTAATCAATTTTTGTAATGATTTTGATAGATATAATTTAAGGCTTTCTTTTATGACTAAATTTTGAATTTAGACACCCTGTATTGAAAGTGAATTGTTATGTCAATCACGAATAATGTCAACAGTATTTTCCACACGAGTGCTGAAAGTACTTTTAGCACACGTATTGAAAGTACTTTCAGCACGCGTGTGATATTTAGCGCTTTTCAAAGAACCAGCTACTGCGAATTTTGTCATTTTCGTATGTGGTCGTAGGAAAAATGGCTTTTCATATCCAAAAAAAACGCTAATTGGAACATTTCTTTCATTATACATACAGGGTGTCCGGAAAGTCAACGATAATACTGAAAGGGCTGATGCAGCAACTCATTAGCATCCAGAAAAACATAATATGTTAGTAAAAAATCAATGGTTTTCGAGACATGGTCACTTTAAAAAAATTCGCTAAAATCGTCCTTTTAGATCAGATTTTCGAGTGTCACCTCAAAATTTTCATTATTCTTAGATTTTGAATTCAGTTTTGCAACGGTGAATGAACATTTCATTTGTCATAGACCAACATTAAAAGTCAAAGCTCAAAACATTTACTAAAAAATCTTTTTTAAAGTGAAGTATCAGAAGTATTCACTTTAAAAAGATTTTCAAGTAAATGTTTTGTACTTCGTCTTCGAATATAGGTCTATGACAAATGAAATGTCTATTTACCATTGCAAAATTGAATTCAGAATCTAAAAATAATGAAAATTTTAAGGTGACACTCGAAAATCTGATCCAAGTGGACGATTTTAGCGAATTTCATTAAAGTGACAATATCTCGGAAACCATCGATTTTTTATTAAGGTCATATTATGTTTTTCTCGATGCTAATAAGTTGCTGCATCAGTTCTTTCAGTAATATCGTTGACTTTCCGGACACCCTGAATATGCTTTTTTTGGGAGATTTTCAAATTGGCACATACAACAGATAGGTGGTACTTACCAGGGTTGGAAAAAACCCGGGTTTTTTTGAAAAAGTACAACCCGTCGGGTTTTTTTTGGGTTTTTTTGGGTTTTTATGGGTTTTTTGGGTTTTTTCGGGCTTCCCGAGGGTTTTCGTTTTTTTCTTCAAAAAGTATTACAAAAATTATGACTTTTGTTGCAAAAATAAAATATCCTTACAAAATGAAGCAAGCCACTTGATAGCTTTGTTCCAACCCAGCAGGAAACCGTAATATTACCGTCAAAATTTTGCGCAAAACCTGAAGTTTTTGCGTAGAAACCGAAATTCGTATACAGAGTAGTTCCGGAATCGTTCTGGGACGGTTTTTTGACGGGCTGGAACAAAACTGATATAAATAATTACACTTGCCATCAGTGCACTGGACCACGTCTCTGGGTGGCTAGCCCAGAGACTCCGTGTTATGTAGAATTCTTGTAGAATTCTACATATCGACAGGATTCTATAGACTCGGCTCATTCGATATGTCGAAATCTAAATCCTACATGGCACGAAGTCTCTGCCCAGACCTCCACGCCAAACTTCAATAGCGAACAACCGGGGACTGGCGAATCATCGGGGAATCCCTGATATTTCCTGTGAAAATGACGCTCATTCAACTGAAAATTTACTATTTTTAAAATAACCCAAAAAAACCAAATAATGGTGGGTTTTAGTAATTGAAAAAACCTGAAAAACCCCACTGGGGAACCTGGGGAAATTCTATGCCAACCCTGGTACTTACCTAGCCGGAAATAAAATGAGCCAAATCGGCACAAACTTGAGGTCGAGAAAAACCCCTTTTCTTCTAATCCGAAATGAGATACCCACTTTACCAAACTCATTAAAATGCATGTTACCTGTGACCCTTCTCAACAGGCCGATGCACATTAAAACCTCATCACAGGTCAAATTTGCATATTATTATACTTTATAGTCAGTCGAGTTCAAGGGTTTCACAATAGAAAATAACCGATTTTGAATGCTTTTGTGCATATACCTACTTATTATATGTCATAAGAATTTAAAATTGGTCACTATTATTGTTTCGTAGAATATGTGATAAAATGGAAATTTCAGTTTTAAGAACAGAGACAGCTGATAAATAACAGACAATAGGCTCAATAGAGATACTATTTGGTTCCTTTGAGTAATGGCATCAATGTTCATCTCTTTTTCCCTCAAATCACAAAAAAACCAATTGCAAATTTGCGATATTGAATCATATGCATAAATCACAAGCATATGCTTTTGCTTGAATTTTTTGAGATAAACATATTCAGCTTTAATACAGCAAAAAAAAACGGAGGAAGAGTAGAGTAAAAGCATTCGCTACACTTTATTCATATGACTGATTGTCCATATGAGAATATGCATTTTTTTGTAGGAAAGAAAAAACACTATAAAGCAATAAATAGTGGATCTAAAAATGGACAAATTTGTTAGCTTGGTAAATAAACAAGTTTATTTATGTTGGTTTTAGTCTTCGACTTTTAGTTATCGAGCTCTGAACTATCTAGATACATTGTTTTGTTTATTGTTTGGTTTCGACTTGTGGAAGCAGGGTCAAAGGGAATTTCTCATCAAGCTCGTACGATCGGCGAGGCAAGTCTTTAGCTTATTAATAACGTAAACATTACTTATCTTCATGACTTTTAAAAAAATGAATAACCATATTTCCTAAAATGTGTTTTGAGAATCAATTTTCAAAAATAGTCAATGAAAAGGGCCAAAAAGGGAATTTGTAAGAGTTTATCAGTTGGTTGAAAATTGGGAAAATACCTATATTTTTGAAAATCGATTCCACAAACAGTATATCATCATCATCAACTTTTAGTTTAAGAACAAGAAGACCGAGACATCCACCACACATTTTGCAAAAACTGTATGGGTACATTTTGCATAATATTGAAAGGCCGGAGTGTAATAGAAAATGTCACGTAAACAGTAGTTAAGTATTATCATTATTTGGTACAAATAGGATAGTTTACGAATGTTGGGTAGGTACCTATTTCAAGGAAAGGGAGATTATTGAATTTAAATTTAAGTGTCTGTTCACAGGTAATCAATCCGAATTTGGAAAACAATGCAAAGTCTTGGAAAAACAGAAAAAAAGGGGTGGGTTTTAGGGGCCCTGGTACTGCAATCCTATTGGTTAACTTTGAAATATTACCTGTAATTCATTAGGAATCTAAACAGTACCTACGCAGAAACCTTGTTTAAACTCTTCTTTCAGTGTTTCCTGAGATACTTTACATGAAAGTAGCAGACACTGACAGTGCAAGTGTGCCTTATTTTTCTGTGCATTAACTAGAGCTAAAAAATGTTTAATCCCGATAACTTTTTGGATGATCACGAAATCAAAAGTTTCTTTGACAGCTTACCTCAAAATACACCGCCGTTCAGAAATACGGGAGTTCTATATGAGGATATAACTCCTTGTACATCACCGGAGAGTAGTTGTTATTCTAACGATGAACTGGTAAGCAAAACATAATTTTTATAATAGGCAGTATTATTGTATGTTGTTCTATACGGCTGTTTTTAAAATATTATTTTATTTTTAGTACTATCAAATGCCGCATTCGCAAGTATGGCAACTATCTCAACAGAACCTCTCATGTAAGTAGTTTTTTTTTTTTTGTATTACATAATCAGAAATTGGAGGTTGTTCTAAATGCTGGTTCAGTTGAATTTAAAACATTTTTATAATATGTGCCAATAGATATTGCGGAGAGGAAAGGACTGATGACTTCACAGTTATTTGTTCCTTTTGTATAACATAGCTTTTTCAATTTCAACCACCCAGTGTCTGACAAAATGATTAGTCAGTTCAGGCATACAGAATGCGTCAAAAAAGTGCAGCAGTGTTAAGTTATATTTTTTTAAATGGAACACTCTATATTGTGCTCTTAGTTGTTAGTCCCGTTCAACCTGATTTCAACGATATACGGTTTGATATGTTTATCTCCAATAGTGAGGGAAAGATCCGAAAATCCCTTCCTAGGTCTCTCATGTTATTTTTTTTTAAATAATAATAGTAATAGAAAAAACAAAATCGCATTGGAAAATGGAGAAACGTAGGCAACTTTGACTTAACTAACAACTGTATGCAACATCCTCTTTTAACTTAAAAGCGCTTTTTGAAACGCCACTGTCATAAATTTTTATTGCTTAGAATACAAATTTTTAAAAGTGACCAGTTTTAGAAACCGCTTTTGAGTTAGTTAAAAGAGGATGTTGCATACAGCTGTAAGATATTTGGATTTATCATTTCACCTTGTATATTAATGATTAAAATTTGAACAATAAAATGTTTATTGTGATAGACATATCAAACCGTATATCGTTGAAATCAGCTTGAAAGGGACTAACAAATAAGCGAACAATTCATTTAAAAAAATATATCTTCACACTGCTGCACCTTTTTGACGCACCATGTATGCCTGAAACTGACTTATACTTAAAAACTTCAATTTCTTGAAACTTTTGAATTTGACACTTTTGTCAAAAATGTAAAATGAAAAAGTTAGAAGGGAGTGACATTTATAATAGATCACCCTGTACCATCGTTGCCAAAACGATAGTATAGAAATCTGATAGATATTTGAACAATTTCATTTACAAATTGTAATAACTTATTCGATTTTTTTTGACCTCCTTGAACTATATTTAATTTCACGCAATGATGATTTCAAAAGAACGAAACGTCGAGCGAGGTCGAATATGGAATTTAGCATCCCATCCATCATACAGGGTGTATATTTTAAGTGATACGACTATTGCTAAATCCGAAACGGTAAGAGCTATAAGGTCGGTTAAGTTAGTAAAAATTTGCCTTTTTTGATGCCCACTCAAGAATTGTATTGCCAAATTCCTTTTAGTTTATAAAATACAGGGTGATTTCTAAGAAACGCCTAAAAATATTTTATCAATTACATATTTCGAAAACCATTGATTTTCGAGAGACAATTTGAATTTGAAAGTTTTATAACTTTTTTCGCTCTACAAAATGGCATCTTCAAAATTCAAATCCGACGTTCCGTGATCGAGCTACCATCATCAACTTCATTTTTTTTAATATGGATCTGGATTTTTTGTGTCATTTTTACTATTCTCTCCTTAACGATATACCTCTCCAGTATGATTGGCCGACGTTTCTGCTCTAAAAAGTGATCATTAGTGATTTTTACCAAAATTTTACCTTAATTCGGCCCTAGTTATGAACCTGTATTCCATAAACTAAAAAGAATTTGGCAACACTTTAAACGAGTCTTGAATGGGCATCAAAAAATGCAACTTTTTTGTAGTTTAACCGACCCTGTAGCTCTTACCGTTTCGGATATAGCAAAAGTAGTATCACTTAAAATATACACCCTGTTTATTTGGCTGATTCTGATTCTGGAAAGATTTTTTTAAACAAATTTGACAAAATAAGAGGTGATTTTAATCATCTACAACATAGCGATATCGATGTTTAAATCCATCCATGTTTCGTTCTTTTGAAACCATCATCAGGATTTGAGGAGGTTAAAAGTAAATAAAAAATGCAAATTCTTACAATGTAATAATAGAAAAGGGTCTTAAGTGCAAAACAAGCAAATTCCGTTATTTTGATAATAATTTACGTAACAATTGCGTCATTTTCTTAATTTATATTCAAACTAGCGTAATTGTAACATATCATAATCTTAAAATAAGCATCGAAACATGATAGTTGTACAGGGTGTCCCATTTTAGTTGAACTTAAGGGATAATTCGGTTGTTATTATTTAAAAGAATGCGATTTTCGCGAACGTTAGTTACTTTTTTGTCAAACGAAAGATGTCGTCAACAGAATAATCTGCGTCCTTTTGTTTTTAATAAAAAACTTTTTTTTTTTTGAAAAACTTAGCACCCTGTATCTCGGAAACAAAGCGTTTCCGGACCTACACTGTGGGCCAAATTTATTTGGAACCCAATTTAGCCCTGAATAACTTTTTTTTTATTTGGCGGATTTTTGTGAAATTTTATGTGAATATTAAGGGGGACTTTTCTTAATTGTAGAAAAAATATATAATCAAAATATATAGGGGGAGCCAAGTAAGAAGCAGTATTTTGATTCGCTGCCTTTGGGGCCGTTGCAAAATTAAATTTTCCACTCTAAAACTATATAAATTATTTGAAAATATTAAGAAATTATCGGAAAAGAGGCTATGAAAAAATATTTCGAAAAACTTCAGGTTTTGTATTGAAAACGTATTTTTTTCGAAAACTTTGTTAAATAATATTACCATACAGCGTAATAGGGTTTTATTAAAAAACAAATTAACAGAGCGAAAATATGATAAAAAAAAGATTTTTCAATAATTTTTGAAGAACCTATTGTGAATATGACCTCCCTGGTTATCTACAACAGCTTGGAGTCTTCGTCGCCATTGTCCAGTTCACTCAATTATAATTTCTTGACTATATTGGACAATGGCGCCTAAGACTCCAAGCTGTTGTAGATAATCAGGAAGGTCATATTCACAATAGGTTCACGAAAAATTATTGAAAAATCTTTTTTTTATCATATTTTCGCTCTGTTAATTTGTTATTCAATAAAATCCTTTTACGCTGAATGGTAATATTATTTATCAAAGTTTTCGAAAAAAATACGTTTTTAATGCAAAACCTGAAGTTTTTCGAAACTTTTTTTTATGGCCTCTTTTCCGATAATTTCTTAATATTTTCAAATAATTTATGTAGTTTTAGAGTAAAAAATTTAACTTTGCAACAGCCCCAAAGGCAACGAATCAAAATGCTACTTCTCACTTGGCTCTCCCTGTATATTTTGATTCGATATTTTTTCTACAATTAAGGAAAGGGCCCCCTAATATTTACATAAAATTTCACAAAAATCCGCCAAATAAAAAAAAAGTTATTTAGAGCCAAATTGTGTTCCAAATAAATTTGGCCCACAGTGTTTATCCATAGGAACTTTTTTTTCTTATTTTCATTAATGGTATCTGCCCTTGAAGTTTGTAACACCCTTTCGGAAACACCCTGTATAAAAATTTCACATTTTTGCCGATTTGTCAAAAACGAGTGGACTAAAATATGAAGTGTGTTATATCGTTGTAATCAGAATAAGATATTCTATATTAATATGCCCGTATAATTTTAGAACAATTTTTCTGAATTAAACTTTCTCGAAAAAAAAATGCTCTAAGGGAAGTATCCCCCCCGCTGAATGGGAGTGAGTTACAGAAAAAGTTGATAAGGAAAAATTGTAGGAAATGTGATCTTATAAAACTTTTATTTAGGAAATTTTTGTGTGAAAAAATAAAAAAACGTTAAACTACCCCTATTAAAAAATGGCAGGGGGTGAGTAAAAACTTCATAAAGCATAAACGTTGTATGTGTTGTAGAAAATGTTCTCACGTTGGTTAAAAAAAATTATTTTCAGTAGTAATATAACAAGTTCAATGAAAAGTATCGATAATTTTTGGGAAATTTGCCCAAATGCACACTGAAAAAACTTAGCTATAAATATGACTGCAACTTCTTTATTATGAAGTAGTTGGAACTTCAGATATGAGGTAAGTTATGAGTATTTACTATGAAGACGTGTTGCAGTTGAAATTCTCAAAGTACCTTGAGCTTATCCTAATTCCATTGAGAGCTTAAAATAACATCATCCTGCATTAATAGTCAAGTCATCCTGACTTTCTTAAAAATATACCTGCATTTTCTATTGATACTGAAGATTTAGCATGTATTACTGGAAATTTTATGATATAAATCAACGCTACATAGACTTCAACTCATAATAAAAGTTGTGACTTTGGATGTTGAATGATACACAAAGAATATTGTTTCATTATTTTATTACAAAAAATGTAGGTACCTATGCAAATCATCTAGAACAGATCTCTTTGGTGTTGAAGCAACACTCACTCACCCAGAAGTTCTTCAATGAGACGCTGTTGGAATTCAATCTACAAATTATAAAAATGAATTAATCATAAATGGATAAACATATGGGTACTAATAGACCGTGAGATAGGGCCTGTTTAGTGGAGTCATTTTTTTTTGTCTGGCATTTTGAGGGATGAATGTGGCTAGTTAGCTGATGAGAATATAGGTGGTTTTAGTGCTTGCCACCTGTTCGAAAATTTGCAGAAGAAAAAAATTGATTTTTTGCATGAGGATTTTTTTTTTAATGATCTCAATTTTTTTGGCTAAATAAAAGATTGACATTGATAAATAATTCACCCATAAAAAATACCAGATGCTTTTCAATAGCTGAAAAAGTGGGGATGAGTGTCAACTTTCAACTGAAAAGAAAAGAACCTTCCGCGTTTACTTTTTGTCTGGTAATCGAGAGAATGAAAGGTTTTGTTGTGTAAATATCGCTGAAAAATCGCCAGACGGTAATCCCAGCTCGAAGTCGAGTTTTCCGGCGAAACATTCTGTTGACATTTCGAACAGGTGGCAAGCACTAAAACCACCTATATTCTCATCAGCTAACTAGCCACATTCATCCCTCAAAATGCCAGACAAAAAAAAATGACTCCACTAAACAGGCCCTATCTCACGGTCTATAAAACTTACACTGAGTTATGAGTATCATAATTATTATTATCATACTCTTCTTG